GTTCGCCACCTGGCCACCATCCAACTAGCCAGCACTTTTTTTGGAGGTTGCCTGAAATGTGGGTACCCCTAAATCATCCATTTATAGATGGATTTTCCAGTAGAAGCCATCCAGCTATTGGGGATCCCACAGTTATGGACACCTCCATATGAGCTCATGCGATGTTTTTTCACTGGTGCAATGGCAGATACTCGTAGATGCCGAGCGCTTCGGACGAGTGGTCCCGGAGGTTTGAAGGCATTTGGAGGTCCTGCTACTGCCTTCAACGATCTATTGTGGCTTTGCGGGTCACCAAACCTCCAACGAAACATGTGACTGATGGAGTCGGAAACATCATCTCGGCTCCAGCGGTCACATTTTTCGTTGGATGCCATACATGGCACCTTCGTGCCACAGAAACTCAAAGAGCCCAGCACTTTTCCCCCAGGAACTACTGGAGATCAGCAGCATTACCCGGGCGAAGCGGTGAAGTCGTAAGGAAATTGAACGGAAATCAACATGTTACAACAACATTCCCAGAAGGGCATTTCTGTCCTTGGAAACACTGAACCACTTGAAAATACCTTTCAACACTGCTTCCTCTCGAGACACACCCAAGTCAGACCTTTTCAGGAGTCGGGCTAGCTGACTGGCACTGAGTTTTACCAAATCTGGATGCTGGCTGCAAATCTCAAAATCCTTTGCGACCATCTCTTCGCATGCGTCTTTCAGATCATCAAGCTCGTGCGCATCCGTGCGCTTGCAAAATGCCAAGAGCAGTGCTATCGGAAGCGCGGAAACCGGCCTCAATCGCACCTGCTAACTTTGGCAAGTCGTAGGTTTCCAGTTGTTTTTATGATCAGATTCCAGCTTCACATCAGGCCATAGATGAAGTCAAGCGACATCGCTGCAGATAGCAGGGCTGCAGCACGACACTCAGCAGAAAACTGCTCCTCACAGCAGCACAGAGATGGTCTTCCAAAATTTGCGAAACTGCTGGATAATGCTGACTTGATGCTGGACCAGATCCGAGCGTTCAAGCTTTACAGCTACCGCGGCGCACGCAACGTCGTCCTCTTGTTTGATATCTGGGGCACTTTCGATGGCGGTTGACACATGGCTCGAGTTTTCAAGGATCTACAGATGGATACAAATCATGCAGTTTCTGTTGCCAGGTTGGATTGTTGAAGGCTATCTGCGTGCAATTCCGCTTGAATGAAGCTGGGACATGATCATGGCTGATGATGGTCAATCTCAACATGTTTCAACACAAGCTGAGGAAGGCATGTCAGCGATAATACAAGTGATCTGTGAATCATCTGTCGCTTTTGCCATATATGAAACTTTCTAAGACAACAATCAAATACCAAATGTGTATATTTTGAAATTTCCCATATGTAACGATATATTCGAAGGAAGTTTAGAAGTCAAACTTCCGACAACATGGACAGATGGAAAAGCAGAGGTGGGAAGAGGCAGGGAGGAGAAGAGCAGAAGAGAGAAGATAAGAGAAGAGAAAGACTGAGAAGAAAGAAGATGTAGGTGCCCGAAAAGGTAGGAAAGTCGCGAAACACTGTGTTTTTCAATGATTTGTGGCTCCAAAGGGTCGAAACTAGGCTCGCTAAAGCGGCGGGTGCGGAGCCATGTGGTCAGACAAGAGATGAAAAAATTATACGCCGTTGTGGTGCGAAGCACATTTGCAAGTCAAAATGTACAAAGCACCTCAGCTTCGGAGCGCTTTTAGAAGTTGAGATGTCGGAAAAGTGCACGCCGTTGTGTCGCGAAGCACATTTGGAAGTCAACATGTACAAGGCACACCATGTTCGGACCACTTTTCGAAGTTGAGATGTCGAAAAAGTGCACGCCATTGTGGCGCGAAGCACATTTCTAAGTCAAAATGTACAAAACACACCAGGTTCGGAGCACTTTTTGAAGTTGAGATGTCGAAAAAGTGCACACCGTTGTGGCGCGAAGCACATTTCGAAGTCAAAAGTGGAAAAAACTGCGGGGTTCGGAGCATTTTTGGACGTTCAGATGTCGTTTTTGCGTGGCAGGCGCAAGGGATTCTGCACCTTATCAAAAGTGAGCAAAACGCGAAGATTTTGTGGCAGTTTCAACTACAACCACCACTACACTACACCACACTACGCTACAGCTACAGCTACACTACATTACACGACACTACACTAATTACATTACACTACACTAATTGTATACATTACGCTACACTACGCTACAAAACAATATTACAATACAATACAACTACAACGACAACCACGCTACATTGCGCTACGCTAAGTACACTACACTACGCTAAACTACACTACACTCCATCACACTACACTCCACTCCACCACACTACACTACACTACATTCAATTACCTTACACTGCACTGCGCTGCACTACACCAACTACAATTACAGCTACAACTACAGAAAAAATGCTACACTACACTACACCACATTACACTACACTACGCTACACTAATTACATTACACTACGCTACCCTACACCACACCACACCACACTACACCACATCACGCCACACTACACCACACCACACTACACCACACCACACCACACTACACCACACCACCTACACTACACCACGCGACACTACACTCAATTACATTACGCTACACTACTCTACTCTACACTACACCGCGCTAAACCACACCACACCACACCACACAACACCACACTACACTACACCGCGCTACACCACACTACACTACACTACACCGCACAACACAACACCACATTACACTAACTACAACTACAGCTACAACTACGCTACTTTACACTACACTACACTAGACTACACGCAACTACACTGCCCTACATTACACCGCCACAACTGCAACTGCAACTGCACTACGCTAATTACAGTACACCACAACTACAACTCCACTACAACTCCACTACACTACAACTACAACTACAGCTGCACTACACCACACTACATCCAGCAGTTGTGGGTGAGGTGACCGACCAGGTGACCACTGCAACCATTGTAACCCCTCCAAAAAACACAACTCCAACCACCTTTCGGTCCATCAGTGGATTCGCTCTGCCATCCGTGATTCACAACAACTTCCGCCACCGCCTTGTGTGGTACTACTGATATAACCACACATTATAACACAACAGTCAATTATATGTTAGTCTTCGATATTGTCGTACTAAAATTGGTTAATTAGTATATATTGCTGTACTAAAATTGTTGTACTAATATTGTTGTATACTAATACTAATATTGTTGTACTAATAATTGGTTAGTCTTCAATATTGTTGTACTAATATTGTTGTACTAATAATTGATTAGTCTTCGATATTGTTGTATACTAATATGTTAGTCTTCGATATTGTTGTACTAATAATTGGTTAGCCTTCCTTATGCTAATATGGTTGTACTAAAACTGGTTAATTAGTATATATCAATTGATATATATATATATTAGTCCGTTTTTCAATGAATCTGGGTAGATCAAAATGTCGCTGACGCTCTCATCAGGCAGGCTATGGGTTACCCAAGTCCCATGATTCCAGTGGGTCAGAAACTTATTTTTCCCCATGAAAATAGCTGGTAGTTCTGGATGTTCATCCCCCTAAAAATGGTATGATTTTAGGCTTTTAATAGATACGGATCCATAGCCAGGTGTCTCTTTTTAGATATGAAAAACCGACAGAAAATTCGCCCGATGTCTGGGATTTTTCTGGCTGTGCCTGGCAGCAGGTCTCAGATTCAGCCAAGGCCTCGAAATTGAGAGTTTTTTGGACGTTGTTGTCACCAATTACCCTCTGGTAAACTAACATAACTATGGAAAATCACCTTTTTTAATGGGTAAATCAACTATAAATGGCAATTTTCAATAGCAAACTGTTTGTTTACCAGAGGGAAATATGGGAATTCACTGGGAATTCACGCCATTTTTCATGGGATCCAAGATGGGACGCAACATTTTATGGCAGCAATCAAAATAAAGGGGATGTCAACCAATTTTATGGCAGCATTTTTTTGGTTGTTTCAGGCGCAACAAATTATGTCCAGCAAGATGATGGTCTTCCTCACAACCAGGGGATGAATCATGTACAAAAATGGCTATGCCAAATATCAAGCAGTGGGATTCAATGAATGTAGCCCCTTCCTCCCAGTCCGCTTGGGGTTCACCCCTCGTTTGAAGGGGGATCATCGGGGAAAAACTTGAAAGCACCAAGAAATGTGAGGCTTGCAGTGCTAAGATCTGAGGTTGTACCAGTGAAGATGAGCTGGAAACATGAGATCATTAGATTCTTAGGTTCTTAGCTTCAGTAAACCGGAGGTTTACCCGATGAAACATGTGCCCACATGTGCTTTAGCCACATAGAAAAATGCAACCGGCAAAAGTGGAGGATGTCACACACACACATAAGAAAAAGGGGGCTTTTAGAATACCAAACGGGGGACATCATGGGTATTTCTAGGGATAGGTATTGAACCTATGGAACCATCGGAATGGTAGGGTGAAGGATGCGATTGCATGCGATTGCCAATATCTCCAGAGACCATGGATGAAGTCTTTATAGGGGTTATATTAAATTATACTATTATATTTTTCAACACATTGGGGCTTAGAATCCCATGATTGTACCCACGAAGATCACCTCTGCCCCAAGTGGATTTTCCACATCCAACTGGGCCTGCAAGGCTGCTGTCACCATTGGCAGGTGGGCAGTGCGAGAGTTGGCCGACACCGCCTGTGAGCGACGTGTGTTGGATGGGAAGATGGGAGCATGATCAACATGTGAGCGTTCAAAAACCCCCTGTTGATGATATTTGATGAGGTGGGGGATACCAAAACTTAACTGATATATTGGAGAGTATACTCCACTAGGGAAATCCTAGGAACCAACCTTTTTGAAAAGAACGACAAAAAGGGTTTTTGAACACTGCTGTGATTTTTTGAGCATATGATGCTACAAGGTGGGGGTTTCGTAGGTTTTCAGTATGGCGCCAGTGGCACAAAAATATCGGACGATTATGGCAAGATTTTGGGACAAAATCTCGATGGAAATCATATGGAACATGAAAAATGATGGAATTGTGCAAGATAAACAACTTATTCCTGGTTGGTGGAATGCAAAATTTAATTTCATATTCATATTCCAAACCACCAATCAGATATTCCCATCTTTATTTTCCTTCCGCTCATGAAAATGTGCCATCCCCTATCTTTCAATCATCGACCAAAATAGGAGCATTTTCCAGCAAGCTCCACAGAGTTGGTTATGGCCCCAAAAAAGAATTGGTGACTCGAGTATATATTCCACAATCCATTGTGAATAATAGCTTTGAGCCATACCCCTGTGAATCTATGTATATATATATATACAAATATATATATATATATTTATATGTATCATACACATATGGATGTATCTGAACAAAAATGGAGCATGCCCTAATCCGTGGCCATCTAGTCTAAGATGCCAATTATCCTAAATTCGTAGATCAATGTTCTTCGAAATAGTCATCAATTTGATCCCAGTTCATCATTTGGGATCATCAACTGAGATCAAAAGTTCATCAGTTGATTCAAATAAGTTCACCAGTTTGTCATCCAGACCAGGTCCAGATCAACAGGTCATCCCGGCGCCCTCTGGTCTCCCTGATCGCCTTGCCTCTGCCATGAAATTTGCGGAGATCTGCAACTCCTACGCCGCACAGCTTGGCTTCAGAGCTGAAGCGAAAGTGAGATGGAAATCATCCCAAATAGCATCCGGTGTCAACATGGCACTTGAACATTCCCGAACGAAATGGAGGTTTCTAGCTGGGAGAATTAAAACGTATATATATATATATATGACATACTTATATATATATATATCGTGGATTTTCCAGCAAGCCATGTTTGATAACCAGAGGGTAAAAGGAATACCACCAGCCAGTTTTTCGATCTCTGGATCGCTGGAGATCAACAAACTTCCGGAAGTTTCCGGTTTCCGAAGTCATGGGGGTTACCGCCAAACCCCAAGTCGTTGGACCTGGACTTCTGAAACCTTGGTGACTTATGTGACTGGATCCCTCATTTTAAGTAGAGCATGTGGGATTCAACGCCAGAAATCATCCACGTGTTGGGGTAGAGCAAATAACAAAGCCACGTGTTGGGGATGGCCTATTTTTTAGCTATTGAACATGGCCAGTTATAGTGGATTTTCCCATTAAAAATTGTGATTTTCCATAGTTATGTTAGTTTACCAGAGGGTACCACATCATTCGAAATCACCAAGCCATTCCCTTCCTTCAAAGACTCTCCATTTTTTCTCTCCATTCGCATTTCGCCTCGTACGAGTACCACGCTGCTAATACGCCGGCGTGGTAAGTTGCTCGATATCTTTCAGCATGTCTGGCCAAAATTATCTCAAGCATGTCTGGCTGATATCTCGAGCATATATATATATATACATACACGTATACATGTATATATTATTATTATCATTATTATTATCATTATTGTTATTATTATTATTATGATGATTATTATTATATATATATACCAAGCATTTAATATATCTCTCGATTGTGAAGCCTTGTGAAGCTTAGTCTATCCCACAGGGAGCTCCATGGCTTTGTGCCACTTCTCCAAAGAGCTGGGATGATCATGGCCAGGTTCGTTTTTGGAGGACTCATTTTCTTCGTAAGTTTGGTACCTGAAAATGTCGAAAAAAATGTCGAACACCTCCAGGTTGAGATGTTGAGTCATGTTAAGTGGTTCAGTTTCCTCATCAGATATGCTGATTTCATGCTGATTTCATGCTGATTTCGTCAAAAATCCTCCATCTTCGCATCAGGGATCACCAGCCGTTTTTTTTTCAGCCTGAACTCAGGGTTGTAGAGCCCACCCTCCAGGGATGGATGCCTGAAGCTGGGGCAGATGAGAAGATTCAAGCGCTTCATGGGGATTTACGAAGCTGGGAACAACACAATACCCTCTGGAAAACATACCAAAAAAATATGGAAAATCACAATTTTTAATGGGAAAACTCACTATTTCTATGGCCATTTTCAATAGCAAACTGTTAAATTACCAGAGGGTAACCCCTGGAACCAGATGAGTTTTTTTTTGATTTTTGGATTCTTATGATGTGACGGATGATTGGTATTAGGATGAATGATACATGGACTTGCCTGAAACTGGAGTTCGCCCAAGGCATGTCAATTTTTCACCATGGGGAACATCGTGATTCGTCGGATTCAGGGCTTTCCCATAGGATTTTTACCCGGCAGTGACTATCTGGGGAAGTGATGAGGAGATTAAACCCACAAAATCATGTTCATCTGGATTCTAACCACGATGAACATGATTCCCCAAACATTTACCAAACATTTCCACATCATTCCCCAAACATGATATTATGATGTAACCAACATTTACTTCCATGTTTTTTCCCCAAATGCCAAGGTGTCGATTTCGCCAGGGCACATTTTCCAGCTTCATCACCGCCTGATTTTCCACGCCACCTGCGGCCTTGAAATCGGCCCAGCCCTTGTAATGCGCGGTGGTCTTGTGCTTGGCAATGGCTTCATCGTTCCTGGTGCTCGCATTTTGGGTGCGACAAATCTCGTCGGTTTTTCATAGGGAAAAGCAATGAAAAACATCATCCAACATTAGTCATTGGGGAAAGTTGCGATGGAAGACTCATCCAAGCGATTTTGGTTGTAGAGGTTTGGTTGTCCAACACCATGGTTTTGGGATATCCAAGTCTAGGACCCAACACCTGAACAGCTTTTAGGCTACAGCTGGGCTACTCGTAGACCTCGTAGAAGAAGAACCTGCGACACACTGTGACGACACGGCGCCAAAACGTCAGGACTTGGATAGCCCAAATTGGACAGTTGGTCAATACTAAAGAAATGACCAACATCTGTCATTGAAACAAGAACCACTACCCTCTGGTAATGACTAACAGTTTGCTATTGAAAATGGCCATTTAGTTCGTTGATTTACCCATTAAACATGGTGATTTCCCATAGTTTTTTGTATGTTTTCCAGAGGGTTTAGGGTTTATCACCGCATTGGCACGGCAAAACTTCGATGTCTGAATTTCACCATGAAACCCCACATTTTTTGCAGCATGGCAGACCTCCATTTGGCGCGCCCGCCTGTTTGGCTTCTCTCGATCCTTCAACAAATCAAAGCGCAAACAGCCAGGCTCGATCTCCTGGTTTTCATCGAGAAAAAGAACGGGTTTTGATAGTGATACCAGTAATATACCAGGTTTTGGATGGGTTTTTCCTGGCTTTATCTCCTGGTTTCATCAACAAATCATGGTGGTACCAGTTATTTTATGGGAATCTCATGGGGAATTTCTGCCATCGAAGTGACTGGAGGGGAATGAACCCGGCCGGTTTTACCAGTTCGCGAAGTGGAAAACCACCGCTTTTAATGGGTAAATCAGCTATAAGTGGCCATTTTCAATAGCTTGACTGGCTGGTGGTATACCTACACCTCTGAAAAATCATGGAGTGAAAGTCAGTTGGGATGATGACATTCCCAATATATGGACAAATAAAGTTCATGTTCCAAACCACCAACCAGTTGAGGTAGAATGGTCAATCTTTGGTAGACAACACAAAAATACCATTTTGCTGGCTGGTGATTTTCCATTGGCAACACATTAAAGGATTCAACTGCCCCAGTCGGACCCCACAAAATGGGGCACATTGAACGGTAAGCCATCCAATTTTTTGGGGGGTTCCATTTTTTTTGGGGTTTACAACACTTTTGATCTATCCCTACTTCCCTTTTTGAGTCACCGTTTTTTTTAAGGGATTATTTTATTGATACTTTCGCACGCAAACATCGCAGTGGTCCTTATTTCTGGAGTTGCTGGCATCTGCTTCCATGACTTTCAGGAAATTCTCCACTTGATCTGCCTCCGGCTCCGGCTTCGCTGAGTGGGGCTGCTAGGGGTTGGGAGTTCGATGGCTTTTTCACGAAGCCGCACCTTGATGTCCACCGTCACCAGCACCGTAGCGCCTGGCACCGATCTGTCCACTGAATTTTCTGTTGCCATCATTTAGAGCTGGTATTTCCCAGCTCAAAACCATAATCTATAGCCAACTTCCCAGATTTTTCCTGTGAATTTCCGACGCTTTTCCCACTGACACCTCCATTTTCCTATATATTTCCTATGGGGTTCCCAGCTCAAAATCATCATTTCAAGGCAATTTCCATTCAATTTCCCATCTCTTCTGGTATTTTCCGATGATTTTCCCATGGTTTACTTCGGGGATTCCCTGAATTTCGGCCGTTTTGTCATGGTGCTGGTGGAGCTGCCAGTGGCTTCGGTTTGGAAGGCCCAAGGAGGTAAGGAGGCGCTCTCGGCCTTCTCCTGGGATGGATGGATGGGGAGATATGATGGGGATATAGTATAACTATGGTTAATACTAATGGTATACTAATCGTATAATGGAATATTAATGGTTTATACTATGGTTAATGGAATATTCATGGTTTACTAATGGTATAATGTCAACCCCGGATTGATAAACCATGGTTTATTAATTAGTGGGTATTCCCCCAATAGTCATGATTTGATACTTTTTTATGGTACCCTCCCTTTTTTCAGCAGCCTAGGGTTGTGCTGAATTCTATGGTTTATGATAGATATAACTATAGTAAAACCATCTGGTTGGTGGTTATTATATGGGATAATCATCTTTATAATGGGATTATATACCAATAATAGTGGTTAATGATGGTTAATGGTTAATAATCACTGGTTGGTGGATGGGAGATCTTTATAGTAACTCTCTGGTTATTCAACATAGCCATGGTATAGATGGCCCATTGAAATAGATGGTTTACCTATTAATAGCATGGTGATTTTCCATGGCTATGTTAAATAACCAGATGGTATATATCCAAAAATATCTATATATGAGTCATATGAGGAAATAATTTATGGGATACATGATATCATATATATATATGAGGAATTTTGGATATGGTATTTACATTGAAAGGTCTTATAATCAAATATTATAAAAACCACATGGTTTTATATGCCCAAATCAAGTGCACAAAAATCATGGTCTTATTATAATCTCATTTTGAAAGGTCCGTGAAAGAAACCCAAACTGGACAACGAGATAATAATAGACAATAAGGTTGATATTTCTATCAATTAAATTAACATATTTATTTCTATCAACATTATTGTCTCTATTATATCTATCAATAAATTATATCTACCAATTATATATCTATCAATTATATATCAACCATTTTACTATTAAACATATTTATCAAACAAACACATGTATGAGTTTCTCTCAGAATAGGGTATCCATTCCATCCACCGGTTTATCATAATTTCCCCGATTAACATTGCCATAACTAGGGGTATATAAACAATTTTCAGGCACAACAGAATTCAGATGAAGTTGGCGATACATCATAACATATCATAACCTCCATATGATATTCTTACCAAAAATGCAGGTTTACTATTGAAACAACCATGGTAACTTGGGGACTTCCCATTTTAAGACACACCCAGATCCCCGCTCCATTGCCAAAACCAAATGATTGGCCCCGACCCAGGCTTTGCCACGCTTCCACAGATTGCTTCTCCACTCCGCCACTTGCTTTGAAGTCTGCCCATGCCTGCAGATGACCCCATTGAAATAGTGGCAAAGTACTTTTCTATCTTTTTGGGCTATTCTACTGCTTGAAGATGTAATTTATTCTTCCGGGAAACCTAGACCCTTCACACCAATCACAAATGGTGCAATATCAAACGGGGGATCAAAGGTAGAACTGGATCTTGGATGATCTTGGTGATGTTGGAACAGCACAACCAACACAATCACCAACGGGCAAAAAAACACAAGATCAGTCCATGATCCATTGCTGAAACGCAAAAAAGAAACCACATGGACTATACCGTAGGTCAGGATCATGGTACCAACGAGGTCAAGACAAATATATACCCAGCGGAGATGCGAGATGCGATTTTTCTGTGGTAATTTTTTTCTGGCTGGGATGATTTAAAATAATAGAGGTATAGCAATAGACAATAGAAATGATGATCTGCTATGATTCAACCTATGATTTTCTGTGGTAAAATCTCCCTTTTGTGTGGCTTTGTCATTGACTATACCCCTATGACTGGGATGATGAAATTACGCGAAACCCACAGTCGTATGGTTCATGGGATGGTGGAAAAAAACCCTGGTGATCGTAAGTCCCCCTTAGTATAGGCTTATCCAATATGTATCCTCTGGTAAACATACAAAAAACTATGGAAAATCACAATTTTTCATGGGTAAATCCACTATAAATGGCCATTTTCAATAGCTATGTTAGTCTACCAGAGGGTAACTGGGTTATACATACATATGCTTGTTAATTAACCAGTTAATAAGTGGGATGATCCTCCAAGTATATCACATTTGTCTGGTTCTTGACCAGCAGCATTGTACATGCCACCAGCGCCTTGTAGTGGGCGGTGGTCTTGTGATGAGCTACCGCGTCATCGTCGGTGTAAGCTTCATAAAAGACAAAGCGATTGGGATTGTCCTTGGCACTGAACGAGTGTCCAGGGAGATGTTATTTTCTCCACGGAACTGGCAGTCTCATGAAATGGGTTTCATCGGCCATATCCTATTATCCTAGTAGCATATCCCATTATCCTAGTAGCATATCCCATTATCCTATGATTACATCCCATTATCTTCCAGTATATCCAAGTACCCTTGGGTAAACTAACAGTAGCCATGGAACATCACCATTCTCAATAGGTAAATCATCGAACTAAATGGGCGATCTATACCATAGCTATGTTGGTTTACTGGAGTGTACAACATCAGATGTTCCATGAATCCCTCAATTATCCATGAATTCTCCGTTTATTGTGGGTTATCCATCAATCTGGGTAAATTATAATAATTAATTCACTCACCTGAAATGTTGGGCCATTTTTTGGGATGATTCCTCTATAAAAACCATGATTCCAGTGAGGTTATCCATCAATTTATCCATAAATTTTGGTGAACTGCTACATCTCACCATCACCAAAGGTCTCGATCCCTCAGGAGGTCGAACCTCAAACAGCCCGGGTCAATCGCCTTATCTCTGGAACCCATGGCATCTTGCTCCATGGCCTCAAACAGCGGGATTTTTGTGTTTTTTTGATGCTTGTTATTATAGTGAATTATTAGTATACATTAACTGTTAATATAACTAGATGCTTATTAAAAAGATGCTTATTATATTAACTGTTAATATAGTATACTATTGGTTGATGGATAATCATAAAGTATAAATATATTTCGTCCTAAAATATAACAATAGCTTAAATCCAGAAATCATATAAATTATGATTATGATATGGTCGGGTCTATTGTAAAATTCCAGTTTTTGGGATAACTGACTATTAACCGGTAGATTATTGTGGAAATAACAATTATCATAGTGGAATTATTCAGAACCACATACTGTATATTACACAAACGGTTAGCGCAAATATAGCCTATTTTTTGTCGGATGAATTTCAATAACATAGAGCTCGAAATCTCCTATTCGTGGAAGAAATCATGAAACATCCCCTATTTGTAATCCTATCTTTTGAAGGAGGATTTTGCAGTAATGATTATCACCATCGTCCCCTATTATTTTCATGAAAATCTACTTACCCTACTTTGAGCCAGAACATCCTCTTTGTAAACAGGATGAATGGGTGAAAGTCCAATTTTCAACGAAACCAAGGCTACAAACTACTTGATGTCTGGGATGCTCATCCAAGAAATGTGGCAAATCCAGTCATAAAGCCATGATTTCGGGGGTTGTGAGAAACAAAAAATGGTCTGTCAGGTGTGATTTCAATCATCCATTTCCAGTAAACTCAATACTCAAAGCAGGGGATGGCAAGTCATTTCCAGTCATCATTCCTGGTTCGTGGGGGGGTTGAAAACGCCGAAAATGCGCTACCGTGGTATGTCAGGTTGTAAACTGCGCCCGAAAGAAACAACACAAGTCTATACAATCTATACATTAAGAAAAGGACGCCTCAAGGAGGTAAAACCAGCCCTTTTTTTTCGTAGACGGATGGCAGGTCGCATGTGGATGATGGGATCTGGTCAAATTTGATGTGAAAACCTAGCAGAGCGCACCTTGAGGAAGTCATCGATCCGGTCCGCTTTGATGTCCACCGTGACCAGCACAGCGCTTCCGACACTCATCGCGTCATAGGAAAAGATATGGACGAACTAAGGATTGAAGCTTTGCGGCAGCGATCATGAGGATAGTGATTTCATCATTGGATAGAATCATCACTGTAGTGAGACTGCAGTGTATATTTATGATGGTAATCATTACTAAGGAATAGCATCATTAGTGTTATAAACATTAGTACAGTTTTGTTAAATCAAAGGCATTACTGGGACTATCATTGCGATTTCTATCAGCGTTATTATCGCCAATTATTGTGCTCATCGATGGATTCTCATCATGATCTTTGCCATTTGTAATGCATCATCATTATCATGGTGATACCATCTGGTTATTTAAGATAGCCATGGAAAATCACCATGCTATTAATAGGTAAACCATCTATTTCAATGGGCCATCTATACCATGGCTATGTAACAAATAACCAGAGGGTAATAATAACACTTGGTGTTCAATGGGATGTATCTTCAATATTTGGCCGAACCTTGATTTTCACACTTCTCTTACCCTCTGGTGAACTAACATAGCAATGGAAAATCACAATTTTTAATGGGAAAATCCACTATAAATAGCCATTTTCCATTGCTATGTTAGTTCACCAGAGGGTAATCTTATCTTTTGGGCCCATTTGAGACAGGGATTCAATGAACACATGGTCTCCACCACTTAATGCCTTAATGTTTGATCACCCCCGTGTCTTGGTAAACACCTCATAAACATTCCCATGTTTTGGTGAACATCCCCCCAAAAATCCCATCAACATACCGTGAACGTACCATCAAAATATCATGAAAATTCGAGATCTATGGGGTTTTGTGGGGATGTTTCTATATCATACCAGGAACATATCATCATCCATAGAAAAATTCCCCCCAGTTCTCCTTGCTCATCCGTCGCCAGTGTTCCCTCACAATGAGGGTATGCTCCACAGCTGGCTCTGCCTCAGCCTGCTGAAACCGCTGAAACTTCGGACCATCGGAACAATGGCAACAGAAATAAATGGTATACACACACCAAGTGACAGAGGAGAATATATATATATATAACACAAAAAACACTATACATCCATATCCATATCCATATCCATATCTATATCTATATCTATATCTATCTATCTATCTCTATATATATATATTGAGGAATATATATATATATGGATATAGACATAGATATAGATATGGATATGGAGGTTTCCAATCCATGGGGGTACCGGCCTTCAGGATCTTCCAGGCGCGACTCAGCAGCAGTAAGGCCTTGGGCTTTCAGATCTTTCAGCGACGGAGATTCGTCAGACCTGTTTTTCCTCGGGTTGTTTGATGGGGTTCAATGGGGTTTAATGGGGTTTAATGGGGTTTAATGGGGTTTCATGGGGTTTCATGGGAATTTAATGGGAATTCAGGGTCTTTAATGAGAATTTCATGGGAATTTTGTGGGGGTTCAATGGGAATTTAATGGGAATTTAGTGGGATTTTATGGTATATAGTGGGATACATGATGCTATACCCTCCGGCCATTTAACAGTTTGGTATGGAACATGGCCCATCTATAAATGATTTATGATGATTGACCGAAATCAACAATGGTGAATCTCCATAGCTACGGTTAATAACCATCAGAAATACTTTTTAGCCAGATCTATCAAATCAAATATGTTAGAAATGAAAGATATGGCTTCACTGATTTGTTTGATTATATATTCATAGAATTGGATGATGGGAAAATTGAAACCGGAAAGCCTTATATTTGATGGTAAAAACCATGGTTTCCGGTTAAGATTTTCCCTTCAACCAATCCATTGATATAGATATCTAAACACGGCTTCCAGATGTTTCACTGATAGAACGAACAAACGACACAGAGATGGATGGATTACGTAGGTAGGTCGATAGATAGGTAGATTACTTATAGTGCATAATGTGGAATACATATCATCAACTCAATCATGTGGTTAAAAGAATGCCATAAACCAGCTATGACTGGGAATGGTATTTATACCATCCATTTATGGTGATGACTTGGGGATGGTGTATTGTTGTTTTAACCACATATTAATATATATATATATACTGGTTGGTGGTTTCAACCCCTCTGAAAAATATGAGTCAGTTAGGATGATGAAATTCCCGATATATGGAAAGTCACAAAATTCATGTTCCAAACCACCAATCAGTATATAGTTTATTATAATATATCAAATAGTCTTAATCTACACATGGCAATGGCAATGTGCATGCGTCATTGTATTGCACAAGATACACCTCCAAAGGTTGCTGAACTCCACCCATCCGTATATATATATATATCATATACCATTGTGATAAATATATTATCATCTATAAATGGCTTATTTTCCATGGCTATGTTAAACAACCAGAGTGTAATATATCTATATACCCTCCAGTAAATTAACATAGACCCTAGCAGATAGGGGTTGGAAGATTAGTTTCCACTCAAAATTGGCTAGTTTCAGGGTCTATGTTAATTTTCTATATATATATATATACTAATCACATTATACGACTATTGTTTTAACCACATTATACCACTATTAACCACTATTAACCAGTATTAAATTCCATTATTATTAGCATTAATATGAACTATGAATATATACTACATATACATTATGAAAATATTATTGTTCCAACCACATTATTATTATTTGCTAATTATTGTTTTAACCACATTAATATATATATATATATATGAACTAACATTATGAACCATGATTATAAACTAATATTATTAACCATATATATTAAGCATTATTAATCATATATATTACACAGCACATTACGGTGGATTTTTCGACACGTCCCAACTGGGCATCCCGACAGGGATGAGCTGCTTCAGGCGTAGTTTGTAGCAATGCTCCTGCGTCATCGTCATGTCTTGCCCGGATGAAAATGCTGGTTTTTCACCATCAAATGGTGGGATTTTATGGCATATAAATAAATATATAGCATCATATATACATATGTACATATGTATAATATGTGAGATAAATAAGAACATTTATCACCATTTCAGTTGTAATGGTATAGTTATGATGGGATAAATGGTATAGTTATAATGGCCAGTTCAACTGGTGGTTAAATGGGATATTAATATATACGCATCACATATCAGAACATATCAAATAGAAATTGTATCAGATATAAGTTATGGATTTTTAAAAAATGGGTACCCCAAACCCATAGGTTTTCCCATTAAAAGTTACCAATGCAGTGCAAACGTAGAGATACCTGGAACCCTATGGCGAGCCCTGATCGAAAAGTGAAGCTTCACGATTTTAAGGGGGGATTTATTTCTCTATCTTTGCTGGGATGACTATATACATATATCTACTACGAGTTGAAGCTTGGCAGTGCTCAATCTCAACAGAAATCGCGCACATCAATCTGAATGGCAAGGCGTCACCGGTTTTTGTGTACCAAACATGGGTTCAATTGAAACCATCTAACGTCTGGACGGAACATGGTCCATTTCTGCTTTACCAACAGCAGATTAAAACGGATGATTTTCCATCGCTCAAATTACCGGTAGGTGTATCACATTTCCCATATTTTTTGTTGCTTCAATCTTCTCATGAGTCACCATAAAATGGAGTAAACCTCGATTTGACCTGTTCCACCATTCTTGTTGCTTGAATCAAGGTGAATCCCCATCAATCACCATAAACATCTCCATATTTTTACCTTGGACCCAACCCCGGAACCCCGGTTAGGAGCCTCCAATGCCCGCCCCAAATGCGCCAAGTGCGTGGCATCATCCTGGCGAAAAGGGGAAAAGGGGGGCTTCCACTGTAGAGTTCTCCATGGATCTACGAAACATGGAAAGCAAAGATCCATCCGAAAACATAGACTTTTTTTGAAACTAACAATGCAGAATATACATATATACATATATATCATATATATATATATGTATATATATATGTATATATATATAGCTCTAGACTCTATATATTGATGTTTCAACCGTAGATCTCCCCAAAGCAATGAATAGATGACATGGCTATCTCCGGTTGACTTCGTCGGCATCCCAGCAAAGACCTGGCGCTTGGCGCCTCGTCCAGAAAAGTTGATGCGACCATTTGACCCAGCTCCTGTGGCATGACATGGATGGATGGGTGTAGCGCAATAATAATGGTTAATAATGGTTAATAATGGGTCAAAATCGATGTCTACATGTCCTGTCTGCATTGTCTGAGTGCAACGCGTTTGCCACTTTCTACACTCCAAAAATCCGTCACATGGCGAAAATTCTTGCAGTTTGATGAGTTTCCTAGCATTTCCACCCTCCATGGCTAGTTCAAACACTTCGCCTAGCTCTACACCAGCGTGGCGTCTGGTGGACTATAAGGCATCCGTCCTCGATCAACGCTGTCACCTTCTTGCTTTTAAGGGCCTGCACCAGTTTTGGGATGTGTGGCACATGTTTTCTTGGGAAAAAGTTTTAAACATATTTAAAAAGATGCAAAGAATTGCAAGACCATGTGACTTCGGACACATTTTTTGACTGTAACAGCAGGCTATTTTTTTTGGTCCACAATCCTCCTCTTCTTTGCTTCTCTTTTGCACCCACCAGCTTTCACTGGGAGGCCTCCACAGGGCCGCTGCTCCTTGATGGTACCCTAAAATCCAACGGTTTATCTCTCAAAAATTGCCATAACTTCGAGATCCTCCACGTTTTGGATAAACTTATATACAGTACCCCCATGTTGCTGGTTTATCTCTGTATGCCACTATACTCCAAAATCGTTGGCGAACATCCTCAGGGAGAAAACCCATCGCATATTTCATTTTTTCCATAAATATCCATGAACTGGAATATATGTATATAGATATATATACACATATACATATATATATATATATATGATATGTGGAAATGACATATTCCAAATTAGTTCCCCACATTCACCATTGTTTGTTACTGACCCGCCGTTTTTTGAGTCATTTGCCGCCTCTCAGGTGCTTCTGGTTTACCCAATATTCTCACCTACAGGAATCCAGAAGCAGTGAGAACATGGGATTTACAGGGGATTTATATGGGATTCATATGGACATTTTATATGGCATTTATATGGGATTCAAAGGTTTCTTTGGTTAAACTTCTATTCAAAGTAAGTAGATGTAAGTGGGTTGAATTCCAACTGTACGTTGCCCCTACTGAATTCATCCCCAGAAATTCCTGGGGATGAGCCACGGCCGTGACGTGCAAAGTGATCCAACGTCACTGGAGTTTGTCGCGTTTCAAAAAATAGCGACTTTGAAAGACGACCTCATCCATTCAACTCTTTTTAACCCTGAGCTGTATGATATCATATGTAAAATACAGTGTAAAAACAACAATTTCCATATCCATACGAATAAAATGCAATTGGCTTCCGGGGAACCCTCAGCCTTCACCCTATATATATACATACATATATCATATATATATAATACACATAACTTACATAACTAATACAATCAGGCAATTTTTTTTCGCCCTTCTTGGGATGCTCCGTCTCAGCTGAGGCACTGCTTTTTTCAAAGCATTGACGTTCTCTGGAAAGATCTCCCCAGGACCACAGGAACTGGCGGCGGGAGATGGGGCTGGGATGGGCTGAAACCTGACATGGTGTACCCTCCGGTAATCTAACATAGCTATGGAAAATGTACCATTTATAGATGATTTACCTATTGCAGATGGTGATTTTCCATAGCTATGTTAGTTTACCAGAGTGTATCTCCCTCCTGAACAAAAGAGCGACACGAGAGGATATGGAATGAGAGGTCCCAAAAAACCCCAAACCCATCATTTTGCACATCTTTGCAGCGTTGAAAACTTCCGTGTCACAACATGGCATCCCATGATATTCCCATTAAGCCCCCAAGGAAATCCCCGTTGAACCGGTCAAATCCTTAGTCGCTGCGTCTCCCATTCAAACCGTCGTTGTTTTTTGACTTCGGGGGCTTTCCATCTCCGATTTTCGAACCTTGAAACCCATTGGTTCATGAAGATTCTGTATTCTTGGATTATGCAAATCCCCAATAATTATAGGGGTATTTTTCATAACCCCCAAACTAATCATCAACCAAGCATCATTTTAAAGTTATATCTACTCATATCTCCATAGTTTGATGGTGACATACCTTCATCCTGCGGTTCAACATCCATTAAATAACAGTGTTCGTCAGAAAATCTCCATTAAATCACATTATGACCCCATTAAACCATACTAAACCATCATTTTGCTGATTAAACACCTGTGATTCACCATATTAAACCACCATTTTTTCTGACACCCGAGCCCTGAGGACATCACATTAGCATCTCCACTTCTGGGGGACGAATCGGACCTGCATGGCACCAGCAGACGATCAGTGGCGCGCAGACGAGGCAGTGGTGAATGAAATGTTTCAACCATGATCCTTTTAAACGTCTTAATCATCAAAATATATGGTGAGATATATGGTGATATCAAATACACAACTCATGATTTGTTTTTTGTTCTAGTTGTAAGATCAGTTTCTTTCAAAGATTGCAAGGCGGCCTCTGTCCCTGCTAAAATTGGTTTTGCAAGTTCGAACACATAACATACATACTGGTATCATGTTTGAAACAAGCTACGTTGCTGGGTCAGTTTGAAACATATTGAAATCCTGGCTTTTGAGCCAACAAATGGCACAGTAACAATACAGTATAGCTGAGGGCTGATCCAAGTTGTTCAAAATAGATGGCTACATTATACATTGATACCCTTTGGTTATGACTAACATAGCCATGGTATAGATGGCCCATAGAAATAGAGGTTTACCTATTAAAAACATTGTGATTTTCCATTGCTATGTTAAATAACCAGATGGTAAAAACATTGATCATATCAACGGAAGAATTTAACATACATCACTGGTTGGTGGTGCAATAACCATCTTGAAAAATATGAAAGACATCCCATGTATTATGGAAAATAACACATGTTTGAAACCACCAACCAGATCAACTCTGATTCAAGATGATGTCATGAACTAAAATCGTGACACCCCACCACGAGCTTGCCTGCTGAACTCGTCTCATCCTTCGGAGCGGAGATTTGCTGTGGAGTCCTCAGCCATATCACCGAAATACTGCTTGAAGAAGATATATGTATATCATATCATATACTAGTATACCAATGTATACCATTATTTCACAACCCATATTTGCCATATATCAACAGTTAACCATCAAATTCCGAAATGGCTTAGTTCACAGTCGCGCTGAAGCAGGGTGGGGCAGGCTGATCAACCATTGGGTTTAGAAAATCCTTTGGCCACAATTTGGGGGGACCCCGATTCTGGGGACACACCCAACGGGGGCTTGTCTGTGTATATATACACACATATAAATATAATTATATATATATGTATTTATATGATGTATATACATATACATATCCTGAAAATGCTTATCTTTAAGAGGAACACGATTAGTTTAACGAGTGGACGGAATCTCGGGAGCCAACATATGTATGGACCCACAGCTAACGTTGTTCCCAAATCAGTTGACCCATATTTTCGTGCTTAAGACTTACCTCACGTTGTTGGTTAATCCCTGATGTTGTTGTCGGAAAACGGGGTATGCCCCAGAAAGCTTTGATGTCTTTTTTTCAATGTGAAAATTATCTGGTTGGTGGTTTGAACCCCTCTGAAAAATATGAGTTCGTCAGTTGGGATGATGGCATTCCCAATGTATGGAAAGTCATAAAATTCCATGGTTCCAGTCACCACCAACCAGTGATTATTAACCATTAACCATCATTAACCACTATTATTGGTGTATAATCCATTTTTAACCATCATTAACCACTATTATTCACCATCATTAACCAGTTATGATAGACATCAGATTTTTTTGGGCTCAAACCCAACCGCAGGGTTACCCTCTGTCGTCTCTCTATTTCATGGAATTCCCCGAATGGGTTGTGATGATCCCACTATTAAACCATGTTAAACCACTATAGCTCACCATAAATCCCATTAAATCACCATTAAATCCCATTAAACCGCCATTAAATCCAATATATTTGGATATACCCTCTGGTAAACTAACATAACTATTGAAAATTGCCCATTTAGTTCGTTGATTTACCTATTAAACATGGTGATTTTCCATATTTATATTCGTTTACCAGAGGGTAATCATCAACCAACCATCTCAGTTACATCCACAAAACATCCCCACGAACTAATCATGAAACAACAGGGAATTTGGCAGTCTCCAAAAATCCCTTCATCCGTTTCAGCAACCCCTCATTAATTCATACTAAACCACCATTAAACCATGTTAAACCACTATAACTCACCATCAATCCCATTAAATCACCCTTAAATCCCATTAAACCGCCATTAAATCCAATATATTTGGATATACCCTCTGGTAAACTAACATAGCTATTGAAAATTGCCATTTAGTTCGTTGATTTACCCATTACAAATGGTGATTTGCCATGGTTATGTTAGTTTTCCAGAGGGTAATATCCTATTAAATTTCATTAAACCACCATAAACCCTCATTAAATCACCATTTTCCTATGGTTTTCCTATGGTTTAGCTATGATAATCCCACCATTAATAAACCACCATTTTTTCTTCCACCCATTGGTTTCTCCGCTTCTGAGCTCCCCAGGCCGCCGAATCGTCCATTCACAGCGTGCGCGCTGCACGTTGACCTCGGCGTCGGTACATCCATATCCACTTAGCTAAGATGACAACAAAATGAACTTTCAGATATTTCATCTATTTTCTTGTCCGCATTTTTCAGCCATATATTGTATATAATCCATATATCATCCATATAAATCAGCATTTTTTTTCCAGGTGAAGTCACCATTCTGCACGATGAAACCATTGGCATCTCGTCATTCGTCCGGTCTTCGGCGTCCCGGGCGTGGCGCATGGGCCGCAGTTCTTGGCGTCGAAAGGAGTCGGTTCCAGGCCAGGAAGAGATCTGCAATGGTGATTTCATGGTGATTTCATGGTGATATTAATGGGATATGAAACCAATGGACATTCATGGGACTTAATGGAATATAGTATTGCCAATATCTCCCATTGCATCCAATTCTATTCCCATTTTCAATGTATAATTACTATATCTGGGTAAATTATAATATTTCACTAACCTGAATTGTTGGGCCATTTGGGGATGATTTCCCTATAAAAACCATGATTTCCAGTGAGGGAGACCAGTGAGGTCGTTATAATTTACCCTTTTCCTCGCGATGAGGGGTCCGACACCCTACTGGAAGTGAAGTGTCGGCCTTTGCCGGCCACCAGAAGTGGAATGGCTAAAAATGTACCATGAAAAAACGCCTAGCCTAAGGACTCTAGGTGAAGTTCAAGAACAGCAAGTCACCTGCATGTGGGAGCTCCTCCGTTGTTCATCCAAAATTCAACTGTTGTTGCGGCTGGTTACGCCATAGCTGGACTCTTTTGACTGCCTTGCTAGCAGCAGTGTATTTGGATTGCCAAGTTGATGAAAGTTCACGCTGAAGTTTGCCAAAGACAGTGTCCGAGACCTTAATCGGTATATCAGGTAGGACTACAAAAGCGGGCCCTTTGTGTACCTTAAGGTATTCAAACAATATAGCTATGACCTGTTCTTGATGCGGTAGTTGAATCCTTTGTCTGTAGCCACTAGTGAAAATTGAAGCACCTTGCACGTATAGGCTGCGAATAAGCCCGCGTTCGCAGTCAGGCATGGGGCATGGGGCTTGCAATTCACTCACTTGTCTGCATGCGATGGAAAACAGATTCGCCAACTCTGAAAATTTCACATCGAAAGCGGCAAGTGAGGCAGAATCTCGAAAGGGGATGAGGCGATCTTTCCCATTAGCACCTACACGCTTGACTGGCAAAAACATCTGTGAATGCAACATAAATGACAAGACCATTTCATACCAAGAGGTTCCTAAAGCCTGGTCGGGATGTTGGTCCAATTGCAATGGCCACTTAAGGTCTGCCATCCATTGGTTGATGGCTGTAGCAACAGTGAGGCCCCATGCGCATGCACCAAGCTCATGCATCTGCTGTGGAGAGGCTGTCCATGTTGGCTGCACCCTATACTGCATTAGACGATCCCGTACATTATGTCGCTGGCTGCCAGTGATTTCGGTTTGTGACATGGATGGTGGCTGCACACGTTTAATTTCGGCTTTACGGTTGCGCACCGCAACATGAAATTTGTAAAGTGCAAACAAATGCTCTTTTTGTTCAGCAAGTTGGGTGTGCATTTCAGTATAGTCTTGCACTAAACGGGGAACAAGATTCCAACAAGCGGTGATGGCGGCATCATTCGCTTTTTTATTCCCTATTCTGTGGTAAAGATCCACCCATGTAGGTGCAATTTCGAGTTCAGCATGGGCTTTTACTTTATGAAAGACTCTATTCCCCAAGTGAATGACCCGCCATAGTCTTATAATGAGGTCAAGATCTTCCATGTCATGTAGCTGCGCCAAATTAGTGGCTGACAAACATCTGGAAACTGCAGTTTAAGTGACTTGGGAATCCGTGTGGATGGCAGTGTTAGCAAAACGCTCGCAGATATATAGCACAGCAAAAAGTTCCGCCCTGTGAATCCTTTGCTCTCCAAAGGGCCGGCAAGCATTCAAGAGCATCAGTGTGGGAGGCATGGCACCAGTTTGGCTGTACGTCTTCGCCATAAGCTCGCGTTCTACATTATCACTGGCCAAGTCAACTACCATTGCTGAAGCACTGAATCTAGTATTGGGTGATTGTGGATGCTGACATGACCCATCGGTGTAGCATCTGATTGTGTTGCCACTCATGTCCAGTGTGTGCAGCGCATGGTATATATTGTCTGCAATGTCGGGTTCAGGTTGCTGCCAATGTGTGAGGTTGACCCACTCTTGCTGTTCATGCTGATGTATGACTGGGAGTTCGTACCATTCCTTTCCTTCTGTCTCCATCCAATTGAATGTCAACTCGTGCTGAGCTCGAAGGTCTTGTACCTCCGGACAAACCATGACCCTATGATACTTCGTGTCTGGGACCTGACAGTTTACGCAAAGGTCTGAGGTGGATGGGTCCCAAGCTGCCTGCTGGACGCCTGTTTGAAATCCACCTGCAATCTGATTGATCAAGAATTTTTGGTCTTTTGGAGGGAACTTGGTCAATATTGCGGAAGTGTCAGTTTTATTAATAGGAGGCATCCCTCTAAGAGCTTTCCTATCCGTATACAAGGTCAACAAAGTTTGTTCCCATTCCACTTGGATGAGACGTTTCCAAGTTTTCCTACTGGTTGTGAGGAGGTTGTGCCATTGAAATGCGGAGGTCTGGATCCACCCCTTTGCATCCATGTGCCATCCTATCTTAGTCAAATAGTATGCCAAACAACTGGCAGGTCCACTGCAATGATGCGACGCTCCATCATGTGTAGCAACAATCCGCAGGAAACTTTGAACAGTCCCAGGCGTGGCTTTGTGCAGGAATCTGTGTGCTTGGCAAATGGCATTTTGTATCAAAACCACCATGGGGTCCATCATTTTCGGCAAAACTTGTATAGCAATGGCAGAATTTCTGCTAACGCTTGGTCCTAAAATCGCATTGGCAATGCTAGTTCTCAAAGTGTTGGCATGTTGACTGCCAATTGGGAGCAAGGCTGACGCATAAAAAACTTGAGGGAAAATGCCTACCAAAACCATGTGGGTCTTCGCATGGATGTCCTGTGGCATCTTTTGCAACCGCCGGAGTCTTCGCTCTGCTTCTTCAAATCTTTGTTTGGTTTTCCCAAGTTTCGGTGGACCCCGATATGTCATCTGCCCCCCTAGGTCATTGGCCGACAGAAGGTGTTTCAAGGTGGTGTTGCCTAGATGCTGTTTAATGGCACTTTTTATGGTGGGCAAATGGCTTTTATTGCTCATCCAAATCCAACTCTTCGCCCAATCGACATGCATGGTGAAGGCAGCAGTATATTTCTGGGTTACTTTCAAAACATCACTATGGGTACGTGGATTAGTGGAGAGCCAACCCCAGTTATCCGCGTACGCGGTAAGATGTGTCGCTGTCTGGGCTTGGACAGCTGTGATCCATCCTGTGGAAATAGCGATCATTATGAGTACACTGAGGGGGTCTCCCTCAGGGCAACCTCGGGAAATAGTTTTTGGGACACTGACTTGATTTTTCAGGATCCAAGACCGGGTGAGGGCCTGGAGGGAATTTTTCCACTGTTTTACTAAAGCAAGGGGAAGGCCTAAGAACAGCAGGGCTTGGGCTGCTGCTTCATAGTCTATGGTGTTGAAGCATTTCAGTAAATCGATGGAAAATCCTGAAATATGTGTTCCAAGGTTTTTGTAATTTTCCATGATCCATTGTTGTTCGTAACAAGCATCGTATGGTCCTTTTCCAGGCACGAAGCCGGTGATACCTGGTGGTAGGCGGTTGGCAATTTGGCGCATGGCATGCTTAGACTGGATTTTACTCCATAGTCGATAAGTCTGGGCTAATACACTTATAGGTCTAATCTGGGCAGGACTAACGTCACCAGGGTTTTTAGGGATTGGGAAAGTTCTGCACCACATTAACCAGGCTGGGAAGCCCTGTTGACTAGAATGCATTATCCACATTAGATCGTTAATGGCAGCAGGAGGCAAAAGCTGTAACTCACGCGCTGAAATTTTATCAACCCCACGGGCGCTTCTGGCTTTCAAAGAATGGATGGCTTGAATCCACAGCTCGAGATCCGGTGGGCATGGGGTAATGTCACAATGTGGCATATGTGACAACAGTGTCTGGAGCTCTTCCGGGTAAGCAATGGGTTCTTGAGTCCAAAATGGTGACCAGAAGTCATTTAGTGCTTGGAAGATTTTATCAGGTTGGCAGATTTCTTGCCGCTGTGTGATTGTGACTTCGTCTGGCCAATCTTGATTCGCATGGGGTTTAACTTGGAGATAATAATTATCCACAGCTAAGATGGTAGCTGGGATGTTGTTTATCTCCAGTTTGTATGCGGCATTGAATCTTTGGCAATTGTCAGCATAGAGGATGAGGCAATCCTCTTGTGGAACAGGCATTGCTTGTGCGGTTTCATTGTGAACTATCACTTCCACTTCGTCTCTGGAAACATCTTTCAAGCGCTGGAAAGCATGGTGGTATCCACCGGAGGTTTCATCCACATGTCTCTTATAGCTAAGTTTTTTCAACCATATGGCATGGTCTTTTTGCAAGGCTATTTTTGTCTCATGTCTAGCGATCTGAATGATAGTATGGACCAGGTCTATAGATGGCAAATTCCAGGGGAGAGGGCCTATTTCAGGGTGGCTAAGGGCCCATTTTGGGAAGTTACCTTTAAACCCTGTACTTCTCAAAGCTGATCGCCATTCTTGGATTAAGGATGGTGGCTCTGGGTGGCCAGCTTGGATTCTCTTGAGTCCCCGAAGGACGGAATCAAGTCTGCGAACTTGCTTGACTTTTTTGTGCGTGGCAAAGGAATGAATTTCAATTTCAGGATTGAACTCCCCACTTCGTGGTGTGCCTACTGGTGGGCTGCCTGAAGCAACCTTTGGCTTGTCTGGCTGACATCTTCCTCTGTAAGCCCGATGGAGTCCTCGGGTGGCTTCTAGCGGAATACCTTCAACCTGGGCTTGGGTTGTACGCAAGGCTTTATCTACTGCACTCTCGATAGTCAAACCCCATTCAGGTAGGTCAGTGGGATGTCCCCTTTTTTGGGTTACCTGTGCATAAGCATTTCGCAGGTGATCTGGATCTAATGGAAGGTTTGCAAAGGTGCGAGGCATTTTAAAAACCAAAAATGGATCTTGGCAAACTGGGAAAGTAATTTCGAAGGTAACCACTTTATGGGTATCAAACCATTGGTCATTTATGACCTGAATGGAAGTGAGATGTCGCTGGATTTTTGGACACAGGAGGGCGTTATCAGGATGGGTGACATTCCGGCACGTGGGGTCCATTGTCCGGTTATATTTTTCT